ACTCCCCCGAACCGTGACGAGGAATCGGGTGTTTCCCTGTCAGCTGTCAAATGCTAAACAAAAGGGTTATTGCATCATTATTGGGACGCAGCCAGGTGGCACGACGTCACCCTCACAACGTCACCTGTGTGAGTGCTTGAACTATGCACCCACTACTGTTTGATCTCAATCAGGTTTCATATTTGAATCATTTTATTGTTCGACGACAGCTACTACTGCCGCTTAATTTAGTGCTCCAAGCAAATAGGGAATATAATTATTTGCCAATGTATAGATGATTCTCTCTGACTCCTCTAAAAGTCGCCTGAGCATTTGAATGTTGGTCAATTCCGGAGTAAAAACTGGTATTAACAATGATATAAAATGTTGATTCTTACTCGTAATGATCAAACATAGTTGTAAAAGCAGTCATGTGTCCTCAGGTCATGTAAAACCTCCTTTTTATGACTCATTTTCCTTTTACTATCCGTCAGGTCTGTCCAATCCTTTCCGCGGCCTGCTGAAGCTCGGCCACCTGGAGCGACGCGGCACCATGGGGATTTGGCGCGACCACTACTGCGAGCTGTCGCCCTTCGAGTTCCGCCTGTACCTCAACGCGGAGGAGCGCACGTGCTGCGACAACTGCTCGCTGCTGCGCTGCGAGGACGCCCGCGTCGCCTCGCCCGAGGGCCGCTTCGAGCTGACCTTTCCCGGCAAGCGGCTGTGCCTCCGCGCGGCGAACCGCGGCGAGGCCGAGGACTGGGTGGACCGCATAGTGGAGGCCGTCAACAAATGCCGCCCGGCGCCCTGCGCGGACGAGCAGTGGGAGGTGCTGCGGCCCCCCTGCGAGAACGGCGTGGATGCGTCGGGCCCGCCATCCGTCCCCTCCAGCCCCGAGCGGGGCCCGTCGCCCCCGGACTCGGGGCCTTCGCCCCCTCCTCCTCCTCTGGAGGAGGAGTTTGACTGGACTCGGACTGCGGACGTGGAGAACGACGCGATCAAAGAGGCCGTGTTGTACTTCTCCACGGATCCGGAGGCCCGGACGTGGGCGCCGCTGGTCTTCTCGCTCTCCTTGGAGGCGCTGCGGGGGTTCCAGGTCCGGGAGGGCAGGAAGCTGCTGTGGCGGACGCTCCCCGTCGATGAGATCCGGGACGTGGTGCCCGACGTGTCCCAGGGGGGCGCGGCCTTTTTTAAACTGCTCACCCTCAGGGAGACGCTGCGACTCAAAGCGGAGAACCCGGACGAGGCCCGCTCCTGGAGGGTTCTGATCCGAGGAGCTCTGGACTCGTACCTGGAGAGCGGGGAGGACGGAGGCTCCGAGGAGCCCGCCGGGGGGCCCCCCGGTACGACTGGGAATCTCTACAGACTGGTGCAGCACAGGCTCAAAGAAGACGGAGCGCTGCTCGTGCATCTGTGCACCGTTCCCTCGGAGAAGGGTCTGGACTCTCAGGGCTTCAAGTGTGCCGGTAAATGTTTATGTTCTAATCCGTGTATAATATTTATACTTAATCCAGGACCTTGAGCATCCTGTGCATCCTGGAGGGAACCGTCGTTTAGTTTTGGGGTGTAGACCAATGAGATGAATGAATGAGTCTGCCGTGCGTCACATGCAGGGTGTCCTCAGCCGATCGGCCCGTCCCGGGGCAGAGCCAGGCTGTGCGAGTTCTCGGGCCAGTACTACTGTGACTCCTGTCACCACGGCGACACCACTGTCATCCCCTCGCGCATGGTGCACAACTGGGACCTTACGCGGCGGGAGGTTTGTGCAGCACACACAGATCACCTTTTAACTACTACGTACACAACGTTTTACACATGCTCTGTGATGAGGAACAACCAATCAAAAACCGGCGGATATATTCTAACGATTTAATGGAGATGTCACAGGATCGGGTTGAAAGGTCCAAATTGTTGGACATGATGAAGCCATTAAGCTGCTGTTATGGGGCTGGAAATCCATTTCTTTGTCTAGTTTAGTCGCTGAGTTGGTTGCTTAGTTACGGCAAGCCGGACATTAGCATCCCTCTTGGCCCCGCCCCCTAACACCACGCGCTCCAAATGGATGCAAGCATCACGGCTGTTTCATGCGTCAGAGATGCAACAAGCAAACGTTACTGAAGTTAGACATACGATGTGTGCGAGCTTTGTATTTTATATTTAAGTTATATCGGCCGTCTGTGACTTGTGTACGTCTGTTTGCCTTTGCGGGTGACCAGGTGTCTAAGAAGGCCCTGCATCTGCTGGCTCAGGTGGAGCAGGAGCCTCTGCTGAACCTGGAGCAGCTGAACCCCGAGCTGTTGACGCACGCCGAGTCCATGTCTCAGGCCCACCACCTGCGGAAGAGGCTCCGCCTGCTGGCCGACTACTTGCTCACCTGCCGCAGCGGAGCCTGCAAGAAGCTCCAAGACAAGTGTGTGCAAGAGCCTTTTACATTCCACCGTATTTTACCTCGACGCATTTTAAACGTGTGCTTTGAACCCCTCCGTTAGAATGGAGCAGCGGACGTACGCGCTGGAGTCGAGCCACCTGTACAGCGTCATGGACCTGCGACAGGTATCCCGCCGAGTTCACTGCGTCACTGTGCCCGTCACCTGGAAACACGTTAATACAGGCCTTTTTCCCCAGATAGCGGACGATGAGTATGTGGGCTACCTGATCACGCTGCTGCAGCACGCCACCAACCACGTGTTCCACTGTGACCTGTGCTCTCAGCGCGGCTTCATCTGTCAGATATGCCACGCGGATGACATCATCTTCCCCTTTCAGCTCGACATCACCACCAGGTATGTCGTCCCTCGGCCGCCTCGTGTCTACAAATGATTAGTATTTATTTCAAGGCCAAAATTAACCTAAAAGCGAGCGAACAAAGCAAACTGGATGCACTGAACAAATTCTAGATTTGCTTAATAATTCCCTTCACATTCTCTCTCTGCGTTGTGTGTTTTTGTCTCGGACCCAGGTGTGAAGATTGTAAAGCTGTGTTTCACCTGCCCTGCAAGGCCGACGGGGTCCCGTGTCCTCGCTGTGAGCGAATGAAGAAATACCTGGAGAAGAATCTGCTGTTCTGAGCGGTGGGAACGCTAGCTTTCATATGAAGTAACCTCAAGTGCAATTACCAGAGTGTGTGTTTGTGTGCGTGTGTGTGTGTGGCGGTGCTGTGGTAGCTTGACTCTCTCGCACTAGAGGCTCATTGCCGTAACTGCGCGGCGACTTTAAAAACTCTTCTGCATCAAACGGAGGAACTCGACACCGATGACGGTTGCTGCCAAGAATCATATCAAAAACTTTTTTTTTTAATGTTTATCTATTAATCTGTAAGTTTCTACGTTTGTCGTGTTTACCGGAAATGCTCCACAGAATGTTCCACTTTATTTGATGCGTCATTAAAATAGAATGCAGCAGGTTTGGTGGGTACTGGACATGCAGAATATTTAAAGTGGTGCTTCCAATGCCCTTAACATATTTTGATTGTGCCTTTTTCTTTTATTTAAGCTTTACACTCTTTTCCGCTCGGTGTGTGTAACACGCTGAGCCTCACACTGGTAGGTTTTGTAATTGACCTGGAACGTAAGGAGAAATTCCATCGCTGGATTTCTGGTAAAAATCCAAATCATGTCGCAGACTTTGTGGGATGTTTCCTGCAAACGTACATTAATGTGATTCAAAAAACAAAAGAGGTGAGCAACATTGACATAAAATATAAAGTCGCTAAAAGAAAATAAATACAGTGTGGCTGGAACAACCAATAATTAGATTTTGCATTGATTCTGAAAAGACATTTTGCACTTTTGCACATATTAGCAATGACTGTTAAACTGATTGTAGCTGTGATATCTTCCAGCACACCGAGTAACAAACAAACAAACCGGCATTGCTGACATTTTTTTTCTTCATTTTTTACAAATGTTCTTTTCTCCTCCTGATCGTTTGTCCCCAATGTAGATGTGACACACAGAGATATCTAGTTTTGCCAAAAAACTACTTGGATATATGCAGAACATTTGACATGCCGGTTGCAAACCACAGAATACTTATGTTTGTCTGTTCTCGTCATCTCATTATGTACAAATGACTATTATGATTAAATGTCCCTGTGTTAATCTCTTGAGTGTGTATTGTCATTAAACTGGGGGGTTATTGCCTGTTTTCCATCACGTTACCGCTCACTGTGTCAGTGCATCAGAACAGTATTTACCTTTTTACTAGTCACTGTAGTTATATTCTTTTTTGAACAACATTCCTTCTTAGTGTCACTGGCGGGGAGTGGATTCTGCACTAAAAGAGCAGAGGTTACAGGAGTAAGCCTGCACTTAAGTATTTTAAGAAACCTGTGGATGAGATGTTCAATCTAAACCAGGTGAGCGTGTCTGCTGTAAAAGGCTCGCTGAGGAGTGTTGTGTTCTAAATGAAGAAACGCGGACGGACAAAGGACATCGCAGATCAAAATGTTAAAATCAAATGTATTTAATAAAAGAGATGGTGTTAAAAAAGAACTTCTCAGCTGAGGAGCCGCTGATCCTTGCAACCAAACAGGCCACAGGGCCCTTTGACCCCCCATAGTGCCCGTCAGGCTCGAACTCGAGAACAATGGTTCCTGCAGGTATTTATACCGATGCGTAAAGGTGTGAAGGTTAGTGCCCACACCTCTGGGAGTGGTCTTCTGGTGAGTTCAATGTAACTCGGATTTCGAACGGCCCTTAGTCAATATCAGTTGTCGTGCAAGTATTACATGCATGCATTCCAGTTGATTACATTACATCAAATATAATCATAACTGAATTGGTATTATTCTATTACAGTGGTTTTACAATATTGGCATTACTTTATTAATTAAACAGTTGCATAATCATGGCTGTATTCTGGTGTACACTAAATGCATTTGATTAATTTTATGAACCGGGTCGTATTTCTAATATCCTACAGGAGTTATAATAACGCACAGGTGAAATGAATCACACACTGATTGCTGGTTGCAAGAGTGGATTCGGTCACCGTGCAAGGACAACGCCCCGGAAGTGCCGGACGTAAACCGTGCAACCTGTGTATTTAATTAAAACGAAACATGTGCATGAACCCAGTTAGACAAAGTGTTCTCAACCGGAACGCGGAGGCAGCGCGAGCGGGTTCCTCCTGCAACGCAACGACATTCCAGGGTGGAAACGACCAGTTATCCTGTTGATGGGAGGAGTGAAATCCGGACAGCGAGCACGAAGAACCCGTTCCGCCAGCCTCCCCCCCTCTCTCTCCGCCACCTCCTCCCCCTCGCCGCCCGCAGCCCGGAACCAGCCACACAGTCCGGGGAGCGCGTCCCCGAACCATCTCGACTCTTTTAATCTGAGCCGAGAGTCGCAGAATAAATAACAAAAAGGGGACCCAGAGTTTTTTTATTTTTAGGTCGGGGGGTGGGTGGGTGATGGATGCCGCCGAGAGAACCGGCCCGGTGAGCCGGCTGGAGCGGAGCAGCCACACGGCGTTCCTGGAGGAGCGCGCGCTGTACGTGTGGGGAGGCCACCAGGTGAGCGACGTCGCGATGCAACTTACCTGTGCTTTTGTCTGCGTGTCGAATCCTCCGCTGCCGGGTTCTCATCTTCAACTTTGCGCCTAATAAAGTTAATGTCTGATGTTCTGTTTGTTTTCATGTTGTTGTTGTTTTTAGCAGCGTGATTGAACGAGGGGGGGCAATACGTGTCATGGCTCCCCTCTGGTCCCTCACCTCATGAGAAAATGAGCCTGAACCTATAAAGAAAAATGTCAATATAACCACCAAGAGGCCGGCAACCACTCATTTTAGGGACAAAGCGACTCTAAAGAGTCAAGCAGCTCAACAAAAAGGAGCGTCAGTGTCCTGCAGGATGTTTTGATTGTCTCATAAACCACCATTGTGTGTTAAACCAGTTTATGTTCCTCCATGATGCAGTCGAACACAACAGGGCCGAGGACTCACCTTTTTAAGCTATTTCATTGTTTCAGAGACGTGATGCTTCACAGGTTGTGCATAAATGTTGTCACTGCCTGACCGGCGTCTCTCATATTGGGTCCACCCTTGATGGTGCGGTGGACAAACCGCACTCATTACATGTTCACCTGGACCACAACGCTCTCGGAGAGGAACTCGAGTGAGTGAGAGTGGAACAGGTTTCGACAGAGAAAACGTCTCTCGGACCGTATCTGGCATTCTAATGTTTAGCCTCAAGTCGTGCAGTTCCTGCTGGCTGATTCTCGGCGCGATAAGAGGACGAGTAGAACGTGTTTTCATACTTTCGTCTCGTGCCCCTCACAGGTAGTCGGTGGAGAGGACGTCATGTTACCCTCTGATGAAATCTGGCTCTGTGATTTAGACAGCGGGACCTGGTATGTAGGGAAGAATGCAGTTTGTGTCAGCTTGACATTGACGCTCAGGATGTTTGTCAGTTCATTTTATGTAATTGTAACCAATTTGTTTTGGTGCGACAGGGAGTGGCGGAGGATCGCCGGGGAGGCCCCGCCGGTGGGCTTTTGTGGCTCTTACGTTAATGGGAAGCTCTACGTCTTTGCAGGAAGCGACCCCGTGGGATACGCCAGCGAGGTGACGTTTGACACTCGAGCTGCACAGCAGCATTCTCCTTCTCAGGGCATTTCTCAAATCTTCTATGTGACTCCTCCTTTCCCAAGTTCTTAAATTACCAAGCTCTTTTCTGTTGTACAGTATTGAGAGGCTGCATGTGAAAGGAAATCCTGCAGCAGACACAATATTCTATTCTCCAGACTGAAATATATATGGACTTCTGTCACTTTCTTCATGTGTAGAACCAGCAGTCCCAACTTCCTATTCATAAATTTACTTTTTAAACTCTTTTGGGAACTGCTTTATTTTGCCTTTATGTTTAGATAAAATCCTTATTCTTTTAAGAATTATTTAACCAGGAAGTCTGTGAAGGTAAATTGTCTCTTTTGCAAACGATTGGAGATCCGCAATGACGAAAGACTTCACCATCCTTCCTAAAACTTGTTCTACATCTGAGACGATCTTGGATCTGTAGATCAAACCAATCTGGTCTTATGGAGAGTGATTTTTGAAGGTGACCTTGAGATAAACCGGCGGGGTCGAGCCTTTCAATTTGGTTCCACAGGAAAACCCGTGAATCTGGGCTGCTCCTCGTAGGATAGAATGACGCCCGCTTGATTGCCGCGACGCGTTGAACTCTCCCCCTTGCAGATGTTCAGCGTTGACCTCGCTGAGGAGAGCTACTCGTGGAAGAAAGTTACCGACGCCAAGGGAACGACGCCGTCGCCGCGAAACAAACACTCCTGCTGGGTCCACAGAGGCCGGTCAGTCCTGAAGAAACGCTGGACCAACGCCTCATGTTTAACATCTAAGCTCTACCTTTTTTTTTTTTTCTGCTGCAGATTAATCTTCTTTGGGGGGTACGGCTGCAAGACCATCGGGGAGGTACGGAACGCGTCGTCGTCAAACTTCGTGGTGGAGGAGATGTCCTGGGTAAATAGTCACTAATATCCAGCAGTTCTCTTTTAATTGCACTTTCTCGTCTCTGTAAGCGAACGGCCGCATCCATGTTGTTTTTCGTCTCATCCGCTTTTGTTAGACCACGGTTGGAAACGCGTTGTTTCGGTGCTGGGGCTGGAACAATGAAGTGAGTGTTTTCGACACTCTCACGGCGACGTGGAGCACGGCAAACACTCGGGTGAGTGGAACCGCCGGGTCTCCGGTGTGAGGCGTGAAGGTACAGGTCGTCCGGCTGCACTGCATTCAGCCCTGCGTGCTTCAGTGTAACGGACACGCGGCGTGACTATGTGACTACAGTTCTGTGCTTGTTGTGCCCAGGGTCCCGCTCCGGCCCCCCGAGGCTGCCACGCCAGCGCCCTTCTGGGGAACAAGGGTTACATCTCTGGAGGCGTGGTGAGTTGCCTTGCCGCCTAGCGACGTATTGTGTTCTGCACAGTGAGGAATACTGTCCCGACTTGGAAACGATTCATGTTTGCAGGAGAAGTCAGAGTTGGACATGTTCTGCTTGGACCTGGAGACGTGGACCTGGACTCAATTGTAAATGTCCCCCCCCCACTCTTTCTCACACAAAGCAGTGAAAGTAACCTCCTTTATTACAGGCGTCTCTTTCCAATAATCTAACTTGCTTTGCTTCTTTCCACCAGTGACCTCGGCCCGTCCCGCGCCCCCCTGGGACGCTCCATGTTCACCATGACGCCCACATCGGACCACACGCTCTTCGTGTACGGTGGTCTCGGCACGGACGGAAGCACTCTCAGTAAGTCGCCGCCATGGACTTTTTACATTTTTTATTTTTATTTATTTTTTAAATAATCTTTTTCTGGTTGTTTTGCATCTTTTGTGGTTTCCAATGCTCGATATTAACTGTGTCCTTGGCACTGTTGAACGTTTGTATCTGAATATGTTGTAAACATCTTAAGCCTTTATCGGTCTTGGGGAAGGTTGAAGGACGGCACTGGTTCATTTTCCCAAAATACTGAAACCTGCATTTCATCACTGACCTTTGTGCTAGATGACGCCTGGCAGTTTAACACTCAAAAGAGGGAGTGGAACAAGATGGCGAACCCTCATGAAGACAAGCCCAGGTAGTTGATTTGGCAGTATTTAGTGTTTTTTTTCCTTTTTAAGTGCAGCTTAGTGTTTTCAAAATTGTTGCGTAACGGATTTGTATTCACTCAAAATGTTGCTCTTCCCCAGAGTTTGTCACACGGCGTGCCTGGGAAGTGACGACGATGTCGTTGTGTTTGGGGGAATTAGCAACATGTGCTTCCTCATGGACTCTGTATGTGACTTTTCTTCTTCGTCATTTTTAAATCCGCTTTGACTTTCACGGGAATGTAATTAAAGTATTAGGCATTTACTTTAACTCGACTGAGCTTTATTTTTAGGTCCATATTAAGGTTTTATGAGTAAAATGCTCAGGATTTACATCAGCAAAACCGTGCAGCTATTTGCCTTTTTCAAACCCTCATTCCTTCTGTAGTAAACTTGTTGAGCAAACCTATTGGCGCTCAGCATTTTAAGAACAAGTGTTTCATAAAGCGGCTGAAGTGGGCCAAGGACTCTGAGGTGCATGACCAGAATGTGGAGATGAAAACCACTAGATAGACAAATGAGGCATTGGAGCAGAACAGGACTTGCTTATTGAACTACAAACTATTTGTTCTGCATGCTGTTACAATCTTTGCATAGCTTTCTAACTTGCTAGTACTTGTTAGCACCACAGGAGCAGCTGAGACTGAGTTTGAAGAATAAGGGAAAGTAAATATTTGGCCTTTTGATGGAGACAATGAATATTTGTAGATATCTTCTGTCTGGATCAGTCAACGTGACCGTCCTTGAAGCCGGTTTTACCCATGTGGCTGTTCTATTCACTATTTTAAAGAGAAATATGATTTTGAGTAATTCATCAATGCTCACGTGATTTATTAAACGTCCTTATCAGGTGTTCATTCTGAGGGCTCCAGCACAAAACCACTGCAGAGACGTGTTTGTGTTCCAGACCCAGCCGTACTCCCTCTTCAGGTACGTTGAGCCTTCCACGTTTCTATTAGAGAAGGATCGTGTGCGCGTGTGTGCGTGTGTGTGTGTGTGTGTGTGTGTGTGTGTGTGTGTGTGTGTGTGTGTGTGTGATGCCGCTTGTTCTCCGTTGTCACACGTGTTGCTTGCTTGTTGGCGCGGGATTAATCAGTTTTAGTCCAGAGACCCTTTAAAGAGCGGTTCGTACGCTCGGCCTGTGTGCAGCTTCACAAACTGAGGACGTGGTGTTCGGCTAATGAGCTTTACGTTATTCTTACATGTTGCATATTTACGTGACACGGATTAAATGACGTGCGTGAGATTCAAATATGAATATATATGAGGTCGTAATAGTGTTTAGTTTTGAACCTCAGAACGTTGTGTGATATGAAAGTAGATGTCGTTTTTATTTGTGCCCCGTTTCAGTCTAGGGATCTTGAGTGACCTTTTTTACTAGTAAAAGTAAAAGATGGAGGTAGATTTAGTTTTTTACTGACTGAAAAACGAGTCATTAAATGGTTTGAAATTCATTTTAAAGCCACCGGAGGGCAAAAACTATGTTTAATTGTCTTTTCTCTTTAGACTGTGTGAAGACCTGATAGGAAGGAACCCGGAGCGCTTTGGAAACCATCTGAACTGGTTGCCGTCAAAAGTACACAAGCAAATCAACAAGAGAGTTGCCTTTTTCTCAGAGACGAAGGCCGTTCTCACAGCATGAAGACTTTGTTTTTAAAAAAAATCCAAACTTGTCAATTATTACAGAACTGTCTTCTTGGGACTCAAGAAGGCGGTTGGTCTTTAGTTTTGTCTGTCAAATAATTGTTTTAACTTAAGATTAATGATTGTAAATAAGCTTTTTTTGACTTATTTTAAAAAACTGTTTAGATTTAGTAACATTTTAATGATGTGGAATCTGTTTTTGAATAAAGGTGATGTGTTGTATATTACTATGGTAGTTTTATTTTACATTTGAGGCAGTCAATTTCACTCCTAATTTATTGAATACTTTTTGAGGTTTTTTTTTACAATTTGTATTAAGACTACAGTATTTAACATAGTTGTATCATCATAATTTAATTATATAATTTAATGAAATATGAATGGGGTGTTCCCAATATGTGAGTCATTAAATTGGACTGCAGTGCATTTAATATCAGGAATTTTCAGTACGTATATGCTGCAGAAAAAAATAAGCAAAATTATCAACTTTAAAACCCACTCTCACAAAGCTGCATCAAATCAGACTGAGTACTTTCTTCACCTGCAGCACTTGAATGCATCACTTTCTGTCAGGTGGCACTTGAAGGTCACGTTAAAGGTAAATAAGGCAGATTGCAAACAAAGAGCACTTGTGTGGTTCATAAATCCCTCTTTTGTCCTAGTGAGTTTGCTTTGAACTCTTGATGCCTCATAATTTAACACGGTTACATTGAAATTTGACTAATCTTGTTTTTTGTGAAACTCTAACACTACCTCCTACATCCTCAGCGCTGCAAAAAAAAGAAGCCCAACCAGCGCGGGTGTGCAATCTTTTTTTATTTTATTTGTAATTTGCAAAAGGTGCTTTCGAGTAGAGGAAGCCTGCAGTGTTGCCGCTGAAGACTGATTCACGGCACGTGTCACACCGGCCGGACATAGTTGGCGGGAAGCATGCCGCGCTGCCCCGTGCGCTGGTTGCACCCGAACATCCACCCCTCGTCTATCCGCTCCACGTCCGAGAGCAGGTCTCCCTCCTGCAGAGAGACCTCGTCCGCGTCTGCTGCGACGTAGCTGTACACGGCCTGGTAGCGTCTCTGAGGGGTTCCACCACACAGAGAAATCATATATTGTGGGAAATGTGACATTGTGGCAGATTCACTGTGCAACATGTCAACGAGCTCTGAGCACAAGTCCATGACAAATAATACGGGTGTTTGCGACCTGACCCCCACCCGACCGGTGTGGCCAACTGTCTGGGGAAGTTGCTAGAGGCAGGTCAATGTGTTGGTAAAAGTGCCAAATATATCTTTTTAAACTGCTAAATGTGTTTCTAGGTGTTTGGAAAAAAAAAAAAAAGTCAGTGTGGTCTGAAAAGTTGCTGAATCTAACAAAGTTGCTCGGTTGGCAACACTGCACTTGACCCCACCTAACCCCTGCGGGTGCGTCTGCAGTAGCGTTACCTCTCCACTAGGTGGTGCCACAGCAGCAGGGCGCGTTTTTCCGACTGGCTGACTGAACCTCTCAGGGTTGGATGGTTGTTCTCCAGAGTCTGCGCGCGCGCGCGCGCACACACACACACACAGACACACAATTAATACAAACGTTAATCAGTTAGAGGGACCTCGTGGGGAGGTTTTCTCACCTTGTCTGTTCTCAGGAGGAGGAGCGTCGCTTCGAATCCGACTCTTCTCAAACTCTTCGTGGTACTTAACCTGCACACAAAACAACTTCAAATCTGAATGTTGAGCCTCACATGGAGAAGCAGCATCCCACCATTTTAGGAGGTCCTGGGAGATGATGATGATGATGATGATGATAATGGGGGGTGGGAGGGCTCTGCTACAAAGGCAACAGTTTCAGTAAAGGAGAAAACAACTTTGTTAAAATAATGTTCCTTTCCTTTAAAAACGGAAATGTTTGTTCCAATATAGAAAATGACCTTCACTGGGGATTTGGAAACTTAGTCCTGTTTCTTTTTATTCACATTTCTGCCTTTGAAAAGCCTGTAAATCTCTGACTTTGTACAAAAGTGATGGTTCAAAGACTCTTGAAAAAGCAGCTCCCCCCCCCCCCCCCCCCCCCCCCCCCCCGTCCTCTGTGTCCTCGACAGGAAAACAGAGACTGAGAAAAAAGACTGAGGGAGCAAGTCAAAGAGGAAGGCAAAACAAATACAGAGGAAAGCAAGCAAGAAAAGAGGGAAGGAAGAAGGGAAGAACGAGAGGAAGGAAGGAAGTAGGGGAGAACCAATGCAGGGAGGAAAGGAAGAAAGAAGGGAGGGTGAGGAAATAGCAAAGGGCAGAAGGAAAGAGAGAGAGGGAGAGACGGGGGGGAAAGTGGAAAAAGTAGCCACTAGATTTTCCCTTTTTCACATGCAGCTTCTCACCCGTCATTCCTCTCTGCACCCAGAAGTCTCATGAGACAGAAAAAAGGAGTGTGTGTTTCAGTGTGGTATGTGTGTGTGTGTGTGTGTGTGGAGGGGAAGGAGGAGGCGCCGCTGCCTCTTTGTCCACAGCTGAGAGACTTTGACCATGTAGGGCAGCTGGACCTGGAGAAACGTCTGAAATGTGTCTCTGCGGGATCACTGAGCTGCTCCTCTGTTCTCCTCGGGAGGAGGTTGTTCCTCACGCTTTGTGGAAAGGACCCGTCCTTAAATCTACTTCCTGCTACTGGACCGAGGGTCTTTCTCTATTGTCGCCGGGTTAATGGGCCTGTTTGACTAGAAAGACGTCACTAACAGATGTTGGTCTGTAAAGTTAGATTAAGGATACAGTTTCTTTTGAAAATGAAAGTGTGAAAGTGGAAAAATAATATCCCATTTACTGCAATATATTATGATATAATTATACACAACACAACAAAAGAAACATGTAAACCCAAACTATCTATGTCACTTTACCACCGGAAGAGTAAAATACGTGTTGTTTTATGATTTCTTTTGTGATTCCTTTGTCCCAGTGTGTCTTACGTTGCTGATCTGGTCCTGCGTCTTCTTCACTCTCTGCATCTCCGGAGTGTCGGCCACCACGCTGAAACCTTTCCCCTTGTTCTTCTCAAAGTCCTCCTTGTAGAGGGCCTGTCAATTTGTAATTCACAAAGGTTTAAGAAGCTCTAGAAGCTCGGATGAGACAATTCTGTGGTCGCACACGCGCGCTTCTTTCACCAAATGTGGTTGTCAGGTGAACACAAACACACGCGGCGCCGCGCTTCGGACGGCAGAATATCCTCGCGTGTTTAGGCGCAGGAGGGAACACTTTGAAACGATATTAAACAGAGCTGCAAATGTTTACTTGAAAGTAAATCTGCGATCCTCACACACACACACACACACACACACACACACACACACACACACACACACACACACACACACACACACGTGAGTCATGTTCTTGCTATGAGGAATATGCGGCCTCAGCAAGAGGCCTTGACTGCCGAGACTTTTATGGTTATATGAACTGGGTGGCAGGAGACGGGAGGACAGAGAGAGCGAAATCAGGAAAGAGCTTTTGATCACCATGTTTTCCTAACAATCATGTAGCGTATTAACCGATTAATGCTGCACATAGTTCAACAGTGTTAAGACCAGGAGTGGAACTAGCCCGTGTGCTTACAAGGCCCACGTGGCATGAAATAAATGGTTTGTTGGCACACTTATTAATTTCTTATGATTCAAATTTTACAAGTTACGATCAGTGATTCAACAAAAGAAAAAAGGCTTTGCCTGCAAGTGTGAGATTCACACTGTAAAGGAATCTCTTTAATTTCTGCGTGACTTGGGGGACTTGGGCGCTTTAATCCGGTTAAACGGCCGGCTGGTACATTGTGACAAGATCAGGGATTAAGGGCAGTGGAGGCCGGCGAGGAGGCCGAGTTGAGCCGCGGCCACACGGAAGGAGAGATTTACACTTTACTAACTAGTTTAGAATTTAATGAGAGATGTCAAAGTCTGAATGGACGAGACAGGAGGAGAGGGGGGGGACACACACTGAGCAAACCGATTTGTGGGCGTCTCACCTGGCTGTTGAGCATGCTCTGCTGTTTGAGACGCAGGTTCTCGGGCGTGTCGGCCACTATGGTGAAGGAGGTTTTGGGATAATGCCTGGAGGACGAGAGGATTAATTAAGCCCTCTGTTCATGTGTTACTAGAACTGTTACACGCAGATGTGGGGACGCTGAGACCCGTTGTGTAGACGCTCACATGCTGCAGTAGGGTTTCTTCTCGAAGCCTTTGTAGGTCGTCATGCTGAGGGCCATCTTGCACACCTCGCAGCTGAAGCAACCTTTGTGCCAATACTAGAGAGAGCAAACAGTTCAAGTACTCAGTTCTGCTGGTTTCTTGGTATCATGCATTTGGTATCAGCTAAAACACAAGAAAGGACATTATTGCAACTGGCAGCGGCCCAGTAGGGAAATTCCTTTAGTCTGATTCTCCCCTGAGATGAAGGAGGAACAATTACAACAATAACACATGAAAAAGAATTATCAACAGACCTTTAACAGTAGCAACCTGTTTTTTATTGGGTTGTTTATCAATGAGAAAATTACAATGGAATGTGCATGAAAGCAACATTTCCCTCTGGTCTTTGTGGTCCATGCGCCATCCTGGAGGAAATACACTCTTAATTATATTGTTTTTGCTTTGGTCGTTTCCTTAAACTCTCAAACCAAAGTAATTTCCCTATCTGGCCGCAGTAACATGGTCAACGGCACAGATATCAGGCCCCTTTACAGGTTAAACTTTGTATTTGGGAATTGATCTGCTTCAATATTCAACAAAAAACTTTTGTGCGAGTCCATTCACCTTCTGTCTGAGACTTTGTCCGCTGTGATTGGCTAACGGGAAGAGGTAGGTCCACAGATTCATAGACAGATTGGGAGACTCTTTGTCCCCGAGGGGAAATTGTGTTGGCCTCAGCGCAGCAGGCCGTTGCTTTAAATAAAAACCACCCCAGAAACAACAGAAAACGGATCACCCGGCGGATTAGCATGCTAAGCGCTAAAGCGTCTCTGTATTAATTGATTGTTAAAGAGCTCAGCAGGTCGGTGGAGGTTGTGGCGATGCACATTAGCACGAGGCCGCTGGGGTGCAGGCTGGTGGAAGGTCGAGCTGCGGGGTCGTCGCACCTGCTCGGCGTAGCCACAGCCGCGGTGTCAGAGGGTTTCAGCAGAGGGCGCTAGACCTGAAGGGACGGTGTCCAGTTGGCGGGACTTTACCAACGTCAGCTGATACAAGAGTTTTCAAACAGGAAACATTTGTTTGCGTAATTTTAACCCTAGGTAGTAAACTAAGCTGCTAGGACCCGCGGACGCCTCAATGAAACACATCAATCATCTTTATATAGCAACAGATTCTACTGTTGTAGCCCAAAGACATCACTCTCTTTTAAACTCTCTTTGACTTTACACAAAGATAGTTCTCAAGTTGTGGCGGCGATGTATTCTGAAGAGCGTGCATGTGACTTGAATCACGTCTTCTCATCCGAGAGAATCTAAAGTTTGGTAGACTCCCGATACACAGATGTATCAGCACAACCACTGAAAAGGTCAGTTTTCCACAATATGTCCTCTTTAATAAACTAAAGCCTCCACAAGGACACACACACCCACACACACTACCGTTCAATTTATTCATGATGTTTCATTGAAGATAAAATTGTAAATTGATTCCCTCACAGGCCCCTCAGCATGGTAAAAGCATCTAAATGAGCTTAACCCAGCTTCAACATGAAAGTGATCAACAATTCAATAACACAATTTTTTTATTGTGGTTATTTACTTTAACTGAATAGAGTTCGATCTTACCTTGTCAAGGCAATTTATTTTTTCTGTGGGATAAACCGGTTTATTGCATCTTCCACAGGGCGGATTCATGTTGGTGCAGGAATTCCTCACGAAAAAAACAAATGAATAAACTCTCTAATAAAAAAATGTGTCCAGCAGTAAACAAAAGGCTGTGGAGAACTGCAGGGAGACAAGTTGTCCTCCTCTTCGTCGCCTACAGGAAATTTCAATTAATATACAGCCAAGAGGAGGAGCCGAGAGCGCAGCCTTCATGGTGCCTTCACGGACCGCCGGCTATAAGACACTTCACTCCTTGTCTGCGGCACAAAGTTGCCATAGTTTTGCCTTTAACTCGTCAAAGTAACCACGAATCACAGTTAGATGAAAAGTTCAGTGGTGAACCAACGCTTGTTTTATATCGATAGAAAACATGTTTTATCACGAAAAAAACATCAGACATCATTGTTGTAATATATACCCAGTCACGAGCAGGTTGGAGCCTTTTAAAGCTTTGTGCATATAAACAGTGACACCTGGTGGCCTTCTCCACGTACAGCAGCCTTTGAAGACCAGAGTTCATGGCTGAAAAGAAATGGTGACGGGAAAGGTGCTAGCGGAGCAGGTTGTAACGTACGGACTGATTAAGTCCGGGTAAATAACATCTATATGACAGATATACTATATCAATTAAATATATATCTTAATGTTCCCGTCCGTTTGTCATCGGGGGTATAGCTCAGTGGTAGAGCATTTGACTGCAGATCAAGAGGTCCCCGGTTCAAATCCGGGTGCCCCCTCTTTTTTTTGTTCGCCGCGAAAAGTTGCTCGGTATACTTATTCATCACAAAACGTTCATCTGTGATGTAACAAATCGGCTAATTTTACGATAATTTGAAATATTCTGAAATATTCTGTTCCACCTGAATTACTATTACTACTCCATTCTGCTGTATTGATAAGATGATAAATGTTTCAGTGGGCCAATTAATGTCGCTCAAACAATAAGTGTAATTTTTACGTAATTGGCTTTGCTTGTTTTGCTCTAATTTAAATATTGGGGCCGTTTTTTAAACAGATAAGAGCCTGTAGCAAGTTCCTTCTTCACAAGAGCCATCTTCCAAAACTAACTAAATGAATAAATGAATAAATGACAAATTATAATTTGTCATTCATTCATTATATATAAGTAATAATAATTAACCCAAGCAAACTTTTGTTTCAAGGAAGATGTAATTCAACTGTTTGACTTACTAATATGGTTGTCCTAACATGGTTGGTCTAAAAAATAAAAATCCCAATGTCATTGGAAAAAAAGTTCTTTATGTGCCATCTTCAAATCACTTTCATGACCTAATTTTTCTATGTTTTAACGAGATTCAAAAGGACATTGTCGATACTTACAGACTAATTTTATCTGTCTCATAGCAGAAACCCTCTGTCTTCAAATCACTTTCACAAGCCAATTTTACTTCTCTGGCACTTCTGTTCATTGTTGGTTTGTCATCCGTTCCTCATCATCTTCTCATGTAAAGTCTAATGATACATCCTTAATATTACGAGAGTCAGGTGTGTTATTGTTGTCTCCTCTTGTTTTATTTTATTTTCTTATGTCCAATATATTTGTTCGATTACAGTGATTTTATATTTTTTTCAAAACTTTTGGAGTTGGCAAAAAAATCCAAAAGGAATTAAGTAAAAAAAAAAAAGAATAATACAATGCATTCTACTCTGCCTGTTTATTTAAATGCATTAATTGGATGCGTCAAGAGCTCACTTGTGCCTAGACATCTAAGTTTAGGTGGTAGTTTAGATGCAAATACATTTACGGCAGTTTTTAACGGGAGGGAGCCTTTAGAGGTCACTGAATAGACGTTAAACAGGACGTTAAACAGGACACACACACACATCTCATCACTAAGCCTGAGATTATTATCAACACTCACCACCAACTTTTATTAGAAGACATTTAAACAGAATGGTTAAAGGAAAACAGTCATAACTGCATCTCTAAAATCAATCTAAACAACACTCCTCCTGAGAGGTTGAAGATGGTAATTATAATCACTATCAGTTATATAGCTAAATATCTGTTATAGTGAAAGTGAACAGAAATATAACATTTTATGAACAAATCGTCGGTCGCATAGAACTTTCATGAAACAAAAATAACTCCATAAAGTTTATAGAAACACATGGTTACGTTGAGCCGTATGTTGCTTTGCAGTAAGAAGGCTACTTCGATTCCTCCCCTGTCGTCTGCCTGCGTTAATGTTTTTTTTCTTCTCTTTTTTTTTGTACAGTACGTTTGCACGTCGTCATATTTTGTGGTCGCCGTCCTCTCAGAGCCTCCGACCCTTGTGTCGAAAATGTCAAATCCCCCGTGCGGTGGCAAAGAGCAAAAGACACGGAGAAAGCTGGCAAGAACTACGAGGGCGGTTACTGCAGACGCCGTCACGTGTGGAGGAGGGACACCCCGGTTGTCCATATTCTTCCACCTGTGATGTCTCCGCAGTCCTCAAGGCGGTGTCCTCGCTTCTCCCGTCCCGACTGTCCCGGGGACCTTTACAGGCACTGCTCGGACTCGATGAAGCCGTCCTTTTCGTGACCCCCGAGTTCGACCTCGGCATAGCTGGACTGACAGCCCTGGTTGTGGAACTTCATGGAAGGCCAATAGTTGTTGGTGCGACGCTGCGATGGACAGACGGTGGTATCAGGAGGACACATGACACAACCGTAGGACTAGTTCTCGTCAAAGTAAAGTTTACTTCAGTATAAGTAAGTACTGGGAAAGTTGCTGCTAAAGTGGTACAAAATGCTCATTCAAAAATGTCCCCTGTTTTGACTTTAATATATCATAATGTTATTACTCAAATTCCACCACAAGTCCATATTGACACCATCACCGTGTTTTCTTTTTTTTTAGCCAAAAGAATAAAAATTCCAAATAATTAGAAACTATTAAAGTAATGTTTAGTTATTTCTCACTTTTATTAAGCTTGAGCCATGAATTTTGAATAAAAAAAGAAAATATGAAAATGACCAATTTCCTAAATGGACCTAAATAAATTGCGAGAAAGATCAGCTGAGACCAATTCTCAGCTGACCTTGCAGATATGTTTGGGTAGTTTAGTTTGAAAATAACTATTTCACCAACTCTCCTGATGCAAATATCTGAGTTGGTGAATTAACTAGTACCTGACGCTGGCCAATACATTTCCTCTGAAATCTAGCCAGGTACGAGTAAAAAGAAATGAAAGTATGTACACCTCAAATCAGCCAATGTACCAGAATCCCATCATCGGCAAACATGAAGAATTCTGAAGCATTTGTTTCCCTCACCTGCATGAGGTAGAAGGGTGGAGCCACCGTGGGGTGCGTGTTGATGTAGTAGACCGCCAGTAAGGTCAAAGCCACGAGCAGAACCAGCGCGCCCACCACGCCGGCTATGATGGCCGCGTTCTCCGTGATCCCGGTGACGTTCGGGGAACCCGCCTGCACGTCTGAGAGGAAGGAGAACACACAAGTTGTTGCCAAGCATGCTGGGATATTTGTGAGGACGAGTGACTATGAGAGCTCGGGTGGACTTTCACGAATGAGTGTTTTTCAGGTGCGATACTTTGCGTATGATGCACTCGTACAGCACCGCGCGCACGCCGTGGTTCATTCGAGAGAAAAACAAAAACAAAAGGAGAAACCCGTATTATCTGTGTTGCATCATGTGTGCTTATTAAAACATTTACAAACCGCAGCTCAGTCAGTCGACCAATTAATTGACTAATAAAGCCCTCAGCCAGCAGGATTAAAATCACAGAGACGGTTAAACGGACAATTACAGTTTATTACGACATGGAACCTATTTGTAGTTTTAGCTGTTTTCTATGGATAATAAATAAATTGTAGTAAAATAGTTGAACATGTTACATCTAACGTGGCAAAATATACGTGCTCAGATAATCAGACCGGTTGGCGTCCGTCCACTAGTGAGGCCACATGAGCAAACTGCTTTGTTAGGAGAATGTAGTCTCGGTACACAGGAAACCTGTGTTTAACCAGGACTAGGTCTATAAACCGAAGCGTTGGTTTACAACATACACTTTGCGTAGCAGTTATACTGTTTCCCTTTGTTTTCTCTTACAAATAGCTTCGAGTAACCGCAAAATGTCTTTAAAACACGTCTGACTTTCTGTGCTTTTGGCCTCGTCTAAATCTTTTAGAGACGCCTTCTTACCTTCTTGCACCTCAGCAATTGACTGAATGATTACATAGTGATTATCACTGTCAGGAATGATGGCCGAAAATATGAAAATTTAGTCTCGGCTGACTTTTTCGGACGGCGTCCGCTTTCTAAAAATATTGTCTGACTTTCCGTACCTACCTCTAGTTCCTGTACCTACCTCTAGTTCCTGTACCTACCTGATGTTCCTGTACCTTCCTAATGTCCCTGTACTTACATTACATTATATTACAGGTCATTTTGTACCTACCTGATGTTCCTGTACCTTCCTAATGTCCCTGTACTTACATTACAGGTCATTTTGTACCTATCTGATGTTCCTGTATCTACCTGATGTTCCTCTTAGGTAGGTAGAGGAACTACCTATCTGTAGTTTCTGTCCCTACCTGTGGTGACGTGCTGTTCTTCGTCCGCTGCTGAAGAAGCCGTTGGCCCTGGAGAAGACTGGTTGAAGGAGCTCATCGATCCCTCGGGTGGTATGGGGTTGTAGTCCTCACACGTCCCTTTCGCCTGAGACAAAGAGCAAAGGATTGACTCGAGACGTAAGACGTAACAAGCCCGCTGTGGGAAGGAATCTCACCTCTTCAGGACAGTTGTAATCCAACCACTCCTGTCTGTGCCGGTCGATCCCGTCGGAACATCTGAAAAATCAGAGCAACATGAGAAAGGCCCGGGCTCTCTGAGGCCTCATCGCGGGATGAACCTGTCAGGATTTTGTCCTACCGTTGAAGTGTGTTGCACCAGCCGCAGCCGGCGGTCAGATTGGAGGTGACGCAGAGTTCACAGGACGTGTGTTGAAGGCAAGCTGGAGGGAGTCAAATGCAAAATAGTTACAGCGCTGAATAATGGCCGCGATGGCTCGTTTGTGGTGATACTTACTCGGCAAAGGTGTTAGCTCAAAAGAAGATCCGCTGACAATCTTTTCGGTGTCAATCTCAACCCGATGATACTCGTAGATGGTACGTTGATTGGCTTCTTAAGACGGATGTACAAAAAGTTAGTGAGTGGCAGGATTTATGTTTCCGCTCTGAGCTCTTGGAGCATTAACACATGAGCCATTTGCTGTGTGAAGAGACCTTGGAGTGGTGTCTCCCTCCGTGTGTGTAGTAATCCGCCGCCCTGCGCTGCACTCATGAGGTCGTTAAAGTCGTTGTTGAAGAAGAAAAAACTCACCCGACGGCTGTAAGGAAGGGAGGCGGGCCAGAAATGCGTCAGACAGTCCCACTTTCACCGGGTGCTCGGTGGAATTAATTTGCTCCACTGGGATGGGGACCTGAAAAGAACAAAAAAACTCCACTACCAGCGTTTGTTTCAACAGTCGCAAAAAGTGCACGGGTGAAGAAAGAAAACGGACTGAATCCATGACTCACTTCTCTGTAGTTGAAAATGACGGTTCCGTTGCTGTCGAGCACCGCCTGGAAAGTGAAAGACCCTTCGGCCTCGCGGTCCTTCAGGCGCACGTTGTCCCACTGCACTACAAACAGGCGACCTGAGCAGAGCGGGACACGGAGGCCGATCAGAGACGAACGTCGCGCACGTCCTCCCCCCGGTGAGCCCACGCTTACTCACCGTTGTCCGAGTACCTCACGGTGGAGTTTTTGGAGAAGCTGGGGTCGAAGTTGGCCATGAGGGGAGCGATGTACTGGGTGGCGGTCAGCATACGATGAGTGACGTCCCCCATGAAGATGAACCCTAGGCCGGCGGGACAGACACAGGGGCTTGAGCTTTTTGTTTCATATTTTTACGAATCAACTATGTATGTTTCTTTCAAATACATGTTTGAATAAAGTTTCTTTTTAGCTTCAATGCTTTGTTGTTTCTGACCTAAACGTGTTAGTAAAGTATGAAGGACAACATTTAAAATCAAGGAACTTCCCGTCCTCAAATCAAAATATGAAGTGATTCTGATACATTAATTGTTTTGTTGGAATGTTTTAGTAGTTTATAGCCATTGTTTTACTATTTGTAAAGCAGACTGCAAAAAGTAGCTCTAACTTTGTGATCCATCACACGATGGATCTCTGGATTTGAAGAGCAAAGTAGATCACCTCTGCTGGGACGTCGAGTAGAAAATGTAAAGACGAAACTCACCACCAGTCGCGATGATAATTTGTCTCAGGTGGTGTCCATAAAAAGGGAAATCAAAGGAAAGTGCCACCCTCTGAGGAACAGGAAACACATCAGACAAGGCCGGGTGCTCAATAGGACTGTGCGTGTGTGTGTGTGTTTGTGTATGTGTGCTCTCGACTCACCGCGGCCTTCTGGTGTGCGTTGGACAGTATGCCGTGGATCTGGACTTGGCTCTTGTGCAGGTTGTTCAGATCGACCCACTTGTCCCCCGACCGTCTGTCCGTTGGACCGAAACTCTGCCATGTGTAGTACTGCTGGGAGTCCTGAGGGACACATGGTCACATCAGAGACGGGTCTCATGAAACTAGACGCAGCTTTGTCAGCTTTGAATTCAACCTGCCACAAAATAACAGGCTTTTAACACTATTGCCTCTTTTTATCATCCAATGGCAAATTCAAACAATTAATTCCGGCCACTTTCCACAACCAAAGCAAAAGTTAAGGGGTCGTTTGGGATCCATTCACCTGGCATTAGGGCGCTTTGACCGCCCACGGATCTCTGTGCCTGACGGCGTTATCATTGTGTGCCGCGGGTTGAAGGTGGCAGAGCGCGGCGCTTTCTGGGGTTCACCGTGGGCTCACAAAGTGGAGCAGTTAAATGCAGCGCCGTCGCTGCTGCTCCACATACGAGCGAGTGACCCACTTTCTCTCCCTCCCATCTCCACCACATATGTCCGAGAGGGGGCAGGGAGGGTGGGATTTCTAGGTGACGAGGAGCGAAGGATCAGACACGTTTCCCTCACAGCTGATGGATTTATTGTTGAAAGAGATTCCCTATTGGCGGGGAGGTGGAGAGGTTTTGAAAACTGGGATCGGACCCCCGAACTCCTTATAACAGGGATATAACAGGGATACATGTGGCCTTGGGCAAGTGAGTCATTTTCAAGCGCGCGCACGCTAACGTGCTCACACCTAAACAAACATTGTAAGTTGGCAGCACGAGACCGTCGTCTGTTTTCGATTTGACATGGAACAAAAAGAAAAACAAAACAAAAACAAAAACAAAGAAAAACAAAAGAAGGTTTAACACAATTTATTTGGGTTGAATTTGACTCAGGCTGATTCAAGCACAACAACAAGGGTCTGCCACGCGGAGCCGGAATAAAACCTCATCATACACGCATGGAGGCCAAAGGCAACGAGTGGAAGTTGGCCCAGGAAAGGTTCACCTGACCGAATGACAGAAACCTCCACTCACCACAATCAGATTAAAAGTCCTACAATGCATGCAAATAATTCCACGCTCCACCGTATTCAGCCTGACGTTGGGTTTGTATATTTTGAAATGTGCAATTTTGAAAGCTCTGTAAGTCTCTGTTTTTAAAAAGCACCTAAAGGGCCCAAAACATGTGTTATTTCTAATGACCAGAAGGGGGCGATGATTACCCTACTTCTCACTTGTTTTATTACCTCAGTAAAGATCTCAATCTCCGGTTTCATCTCGTTTTTAGTACATCATGATGTTCTGTTTTTACTACCACGGCCCCAGCAACAATGAACTTAGCAAAAGATCAATTATTGGGATCTCACCATGATGTGGGTTGTGTTGCCAGGCAGAGTACTGACATCAAGTCCTCTTCCTCCGATGTTGCGGGCTTCTCTGTGTTTGTGTGGGTTCTGCTGGTCCCTCCTGGTTCTGTGCAGGCTGGACGGACCCACATCTGTCCGCAGATGTTTCCCGGTCAGTGCATCTGGAAGAGGACGGGCACCACGGTGAATGAAGAGTCAGCGCACACAGAGACCCCCAGGAGGATTTCATCCGTGAAGGAACAGATGCCTGTTTGAACAAACAGAGCTCCGCCGGGCAAAGATGTTTTTTTTGCCATGATTTCTTCACCCTGGAGTAATTATTCACCTGTTGTTGACACTCACATGAAAAACAGATAGAGCTTCAAAGTTTAGACTTCAGATAATTAAGAAAAACATGAATTCTGTCCTCGATTCCAAAATGTGTGAAAAGAGCTCTGTAATTATCTGGTAAAATGGCTTTTTAAACGGAACTGGAACAGTTTCAAACCCTGCGGCCACATCTGTTCGTTATCGTTGCCATGATTTGTATCATTAACAGGCAGACAAGTCCGCAGAACATGTAAATGTAACTTTAACCAACGAGCAATAACTCACACTGAGACAGAAGAAAACAATCAATCTCAGCCATAAAGTCACAGTGCCGTGACTCCTCTATCATCTCTACATTTGTAACTAATAGTGTGTTTTGGCTGAACCACAGGTAGTTACCAACTAATTGTGAAGCATGATACAGACTTTATTTGCTTTTTTTATTGACCAATTGTTCCTGTGTGTATTTCCCTCTGACCACCTACATTTGTGTGGGTTTCTTGTTCTCTGCTCAACTGACCACAGATTGATGTTTGTGTTGTTTCACATTGGAGCGTTTCTTTCCTTCTCCCCTCAACGTTGAAGTTAAACGAATCCATGAAATGTCTTGAAATTGTTAGAATGCCGCGTGAAGGTCCCAGCTGTTTTCCCACTGAAGGACAATTTGAGGACTCATTCCAATGTACTGTCTAGATTTGTCTAATCTGACGCGCTGAGAAACGAAGAGGAAAGCGACCCGAAGGTTCAGACCCCCCCTCTCAGCCGGTGTTTACAACACGTGACCACAAGCATGCACCCTGGGTCCGCCTCGCGTCCTTGTTTCTACTTTTGTTATGGAGCTGATGTCCCTGATGCTCTGATGGCTGAATGGGAGAAAAACCCCTGGCGCCAGGTTCAACATCTGGTGGAAAGTCTCCCCACAAGAGTGGAGCCCGTTGTTTTGGAAGGAGATGTTCAGCAACAGGGAAGAAGTGTGTGGGTGTCCACAAACGTGTGACCAACAGGTTTTCCTTTCTCTTGGCCTAATCGTGAACTTATTAGACGTTTGGTCTCATTTTGCTATGTGTTGGTTAAAGCGGCTGATATGTTAGTAGTTAGTCAGAATGGATACAACGATCTGGGAAATATGCAGATTTGCTCTCATGCAGAGAATTACAGTAGAAGTACATATGTCACGTTTGTTTTGGTGAATAGGAAGCAGCAGCCGGTTAGCTTAGCCTAGCTTAGCGCATAAGATTAGAAATGGTAGAAAGCGCTAGCCTGTCTCAGTCAAAAGTTAACTAAATGTGCCCAGCATCCACCCCAAAGCTCACAGATTAACGCCTGTAGTTAAAAGTTTTGCACCAGAAGTTGTTTGCAGCGAGATTTTCAAGGCTTTACCTAACTGGGTTGCTCAGATGAATGAAGTTAATCTACTATTGCCAGAACGGAAAAAAAAAGAGACTTAATGAACAAAATGGGACAAGAGAAAAGAAACATTGAGAGCTTGTCACACACTCGGGGGAAGCGGCTCTCATGAGGCATCCCGTTTGATTGGGGTTTAGAGGAAGCTATTCCAACGTCTTCATAGCCAGAGGATCCTAATTGGGTCAGAATGGCGTCATTCTTCATCATCATCATCACTAAACAGCTGAGGTGGCTTCAAACAGCAGGCATGAGGAAGAGCTCTAAGGGGGAGGAAGACTGGAAATGTCAGATCAGGGACTCTGCGTTAGTTATCGCAGAATATAAGCAGAGTCCTTTGGAAACGCAGCCAACCTGATTGTGCTTTTCCTTTTGCAAACATTGAGCATTTATCCCCGACATCTCTCACTTTAAGTGTCTGCAGGTGTGACTGGATGGACTTCTGACAACAAAAAATAGGACGCATAAGGACTTGAGGGAAGTGACCTTCATAGCATCAGATCTGGCAGACATGTGTGTGTGTGTGTGTGTGTGTGTGTCTGTGTGTGTGTGTGTGTGTGTGACTTTAAGAATTTGAAATTGGGCCCAGAAATGCAACGACTGAAGTGACAAATGTGACACATTTACCGATGAAGAGCGAGTGGTTTCTACAGTAACAATAAACAACGATAAACTATTAGAATAACATAAATGGAAATGATTATGCAGTCCTACAGATTTACTTTTAGTTTATGTTCAAATTTATTGCTGTTTAATCCGACATATTTTTCAGTACCACGTGTGTTCACCTCAGTCTGAATTAAACCTCTAATCCTGCAGTTTTATTTAGAATTATTAACAAATGCACATCAGCTTCTTTTGAGACAATGGCAGCGGGTTGTCCGCCATATCGGCGCCTGCATTGCAGCACGCACCTTCTAAATCCAGTGGGTGTTGGGAGGCACGGCGAACTAGGCCACATCATTTTGAACCATATTCAGCGTGCTATAGATATACTCATTGTGTTTATTCCTGCCCGTATTGTTTCCCACGCACCTATTGCTCATTCCCCTGATTCCTCTAGTCTCTGTGGCATTATTTCACCACTTGCCTTTTAACATCTTAAATCAATCTACCATTCGTTTGACGGACAGACACCAAAGAAACACAACAGGTTTTTCGCTCGTTGGAAAGTGGCTTTTGAAGGCCAGACACAAAAAGGACATCACACACCAGATGAAAAAAAGAAAAAAAACATTTCCTCAACTGAGACGAAAGCTCAATGTCCTTTCAGTCTGTTCAGCTGGATGAAGTCCAGGGGTGAAAAAATGACTTCCGAAAATAAGCTCCTTCCAGTCAAACGCACAACATTTTGTAGTGCAACCTCATTCGGGGAAGCAGCGAGGACACAAAGGCATGCGCTTGATCCCGGAGAAGACCAAGCGAATGATCTGCAGGCCCAACGAGAGATGGCAGCGAGGCCGCCGTCTTTGCTCCAGAGACGGAGACGCAGAGTGAACCATCATGTGGGGTCCAAACACAGCGGGGGGGGAGGGGAGGACGTCTTTAAACCCAAGCCTTGACCGTCCCGGGTTGTGAGACAACGTGTCCGTGTCGCCTCCAGCCCTCTGGCTGGAGAAGCACCGGCGGAACAGACCTGGCATCTTGTTGTGGTGGGATCCGTGTTGAACGGAACGCCGTTTGGCTCCTGGCGCTTAGAGGAACAGCAGTAACCATAACAGACCGTCACAAACACCGGCAGCTGGACACATAAATCTGATATATGTGGAATCGTGGATCGGGCTCAAGGGTTTGTTTCTTGTTTATTTTGGAGCCCGACTTGCTCAAATGTAGTTCCAGGTGGCGCGTGGTGTCGGTTCAGGTTGTTGTCACTGCCTGGTCTATTTTTCAGGTGTGTCTACAATGAGAGATTATTTTACAGTGAGGAATGCAAAGAAGCTCCATCATCAGGATGTATTTTGATGATTGTGGTTCAGCTGGAGGTTCGAGGCTGTTGTGTGTTACCGTACTGCACCACTGTGGAATTGTTTGTATTCCCTTGGCTAAAATAATACGACTCTGATGATACTCCCTTGGCTAAGAAAAAGTCAAAAAGAAAATATTGGTACATTTTCAGCTCCCTCTTGGAATATTGTCTTTTAATTCCTGCATTTTATTTCACTTTATTGTATGAAATGTTATGATGTGAAGCACTTTGAGTCTATACAAATATAATTGCCTTGCCTTGCCTGCATGTTCAGGGCCACCTGAAACCTATTAATGTCTTATCATCAGACTGGAGCCAAAAAAATATCAGTGCCAGCTAAAATAGTGAAAATATTAATATCTTACTGTCTGTGGTTTAAAAGGGAACTCTATATTTCAATAGTATCACTATTATGATGCCTGATATAACAGTTTAAAGCCAGGGATCTCCTCTCCTTCTGTAATGCATTACCATGCTGGAACAGAAGATGCAATATAATCCAGGCTATGATGCCATGAACGCTGGCAAAGTATCACACATGCTGACTGAGCTCCAGTTACTCAAAGGGGAGGACGTTTTGGTGAGCTGCTGAACTGTAGAGGTCACACAGCGGGACATACTGGCAGGTGTGAACAATTTTTTGGGGGACCCTCCTTGTGGAACCGAGGAAAGGGAACAAGAAATGGGTGGAGTAAAACTGTTCTCTGTTCTCAGTTCTCAGTTCTCTGTTCTCTGTTCTCTGTTCTCAGTTTTCTGGTCTCTGGTCTCTGGTCTCTGGTCTCTGGTCTCTGGTCTCTGTTCTCTGGTCTCTGGTCTCTGTTCTCTGGTCTCTGGTCTCTGTTCTCTGGTCTCTGGTCTCTGGTCTCTGTTCTCTGGTCTCTGTTCTCTGGTCTCTGTTCTCTGGTCTCTGTTCTCTGGTCTCTGTTCTCTGGTCTCTGTTCTCTGGTCTCTGGTCTCTGGTCTCTGTTCTCTGTTCTCTGGTCTCTGGTCTCTGTTCTCTGGTCTCTGGTCTCTGGTCTCTGTGCACAGGGTGGTGTCCTGTCCTCTGCAGAGCCAGGCCCCTGTTCAGAGGGATGGGCCAGAGAAACTGGAGCACCGCTGATTGTCGGAGGAGGCGGAGAGGCAGCGGGAGAAAGAGGAGGGGGGGGCTGGCTAAAAATAATGTATCTCCAAGGAGAACGAAAATACATACATGCGCATACATTCGTAAAGACACACAAACACACACACACACACGGGGAGGCAGGATGCATGCAGGTAATGCACAGAAAGAAAAATCAACATAAAGAAAAATCAAGAAACTTTCCAAATGTAAGCCGACTTGGCTTTCTACTTTTTACAAAGTGCCGGCTGGAAGTAAAAAAAACAGGTTGGGATTTAAACATTTAAACACTTATCTGCCTAAATGCAGGATTTACAATCACAAAATTCCTATTTTCCCTATTTTTCAAGCAAGTGACCACCAGATGTTTGGTTTCTTGACAAATTGGAAACAGTGGTTTTGGAATGTCATCGCAAGAAAATCCAGACCAACATGCATGCGCACAAACACACACACACACACACACACACACACACACACACACACACACACACACACACACACACACACAGACACACATGCACACACACCTATGTCGTTCGTAGGTTTCATTTGACTGACACAGTAAAATGTCAAGGGACCTTTAGCTTCACACATAAGCAGATCCATCCATAAAATACTGCCCCAAAGCATTATGCAACGTGCCTGTTGCCTGAGTTAGTGGCGAGCATTTTGTTGATTTTCTGCTTATTCCATCAGTCTGCTCTGAAGACTTGCAGTCAAAACAATGTTAATATTGGAAGACCCTATGAATACCTGAGAAAGGGGAGCTTACCTTTATGCTGGTGAGCCCAGACTCTCCCCAGCTCAACCTGGGAGAGACAGATGAGGAGAACGGTCCAGAGCCCCATGTCCAGCCAACTCTTCTCCCTCCTCTCTCCTTCTCCTTCTTCTTCTTCTTCTTCTTCTTCTACTCCCCCCCTAGGCTTTGCTGGTAGGACCGGGGCGCCTCACTCCCCTTGCCTTTTGGTCGCCCTCTCTTTCGCCTCCGCTTTCCCAAATGCTTCTTTGCTCACCTCAGCCCAGGTTCTCTCTCCCTCCTCTGTCTCTCCGCTCTGCTGCACCTCCTTGTTTTGCCCTTTACAGTTTCTTTTGGCAGAACGGGTCCACGTCAGGAAAGTTGACTCACGTGTCACAGAGCGAGTTCCTTCCTCTTTTTTTCTTTCTTTAGCATATGAAAAACAAATATATATCCATTTTTTTTTTACTTCCACTTCTACCCTTTCTGTCCTTACTTGCTCTTCCTCTCTCTCTCTCTCTCTCTCTCTCTCTCTATCTCCCTCTTTAATAGAGCTCTGAATCTCTGTAAATCTGCCACAAAGATTTTTTTTTTTTTAATCTATTTCTACATTTTCTCATTCCTCCAAAAAGGGGGTTGGAGAATGTCTCCCTCATGTGGAAGCATGTTTAACTGAAACAAATGTGACGTTATACTGTACCTTGATTAATAAAATGTTATATTTGATTATCTTGGAAAAGAGCTCATTGTAGAGGGTCATGCTGACGGTGACATACACGTACAAAAGCATTAAAAAAAAATTGGTAACGCTGTAATCTGACATGTTGTGCAGAAACCTGGTACATCTGGAGTTAATGTCTTGCAACTGTTACAGTAATTGTTTTCCAACATTCGTAACAAACGGCCTCTTTATGGGCTCCACCGTCTCTCAGAACCAGAAGCAGATCACTTACAGTTAACAATAACAGCGCAGGTAGGAAAATTCTCACTCGACACCAGTGTAAAATCATTAAACAGGAAATGTATTAATAATACTGGCAGGTAGGAGACAGAATTGACAACATATACAGGTTATGCATCAAAGCCTTCTCAAAGGTCTTCCTTTCCAGTGTTGAAATATATATAGCTGGAAAATAAACATATTAAAACAGGGGGGCTTTGTACCAAATGCTGGGATACGGACCACCGTGTTCTTTCCCTCAGTCCCCACGAGGTTACCTGGACACTGATGCACAAACATCTTGGCTATCAGCTGACGTGACCGGACAGCATCAACCGTCAGGGCCCAGCAATGTGGGGTGGTGTGCAAAACAGACTGACGTACGAGTTGTTCTCTTTGGAGGCAGTTGCTGTAGAATTCACATTTTTTATGCAGGATATAAAAGTGTAGATTGATGCACGTAATTTATATTCCACACCATAAACACCTTAAACTGCGCGCCAAAGATTAGATTAGCACAACAAGCGCAGTGGAGGGTCAAACTGTGGCCAGCTGCGTAGTTCATATGATCTTATATTGTTATTGACCATGTTAACAATATTTGGTTGGTCCAGTAAATAAAATGTAAAAGGATTTTGTCTCAGATCCAGATGCGCTGGTTCGGCATGGGTTCATAGATGGAACCACATTAGATTGGATTCTACTTTGTTGTGTAACCCTTGACCAAGGGAACAAGTAAAACTTGAGAAGAAACTGAGCAACCAGCTACCAACCTTAAGATTTACCGGGACGAAGAGGCTTCTCCACCTCCCCAGTCCGCTGCTGATTCTGCAAGTAACTCTGCCAATGTCCCCCAATGCAAAAGACCAAATGAAGAAGCAGACACTGACGACATCTACATCTCACAGAAACACAAGCTGACCAAGACTTTCCACCCACACTACATGTAAAACCAAAGGTGATGGGAAATGCTACTTCATCCTGACAGAATCAGAGGACAACCATTCTCCCTTCTCAGACAGAAAATTTGACAGAAAATCGAGTATGTGAACACGGCATCTCCCGTGATGGAGTCTGGGCAACTGATCATGGCCACAGCAAATCTGTTGAGTGGCGACATCATCGTCCACACAGAAGCAGTATCCGGAGCCGGTGTAGCCGCACTATGAATCGGCCTGAGCCATAATATAGTATAGTTTAGGCCTCTTTCACCCCAGATATAGTCCAGACTGGGAGTTCCCCCCCAGGGTGAAAAGAAAGTATGATGTTCAGATCCTGTGTTCTTGACAAGTTGATTTCTTCCTTTACGGTGATTTTAAAATCCCCATAATGGGGAATGGCCTATTTGCGAATATCGGCCACCAGTGACTCTCGCTCCGGTTTCTCATCCAGCCCTTGTTTATTTCATTTATTTTAAAACCTGGCGTGAGGAAGGCGCGTGGCTGTTTCCCATTAGAGAGGAAGACTCACTCATCTGCCCTGTTCCAATTGAAAACAGCTTTGGAGGAACATTATTTAAACCTTACCAGAAATGCTGCCCGTGACGACAGGTTGGACTTGTTTGCAGAATGTGACGATGAGGTAAGTGTATTTATTCTGCCCACGGACCCGAAACAAGGATCCCATTTTATTGCTAATAATTTTCTCCACTAAGTCGAAATGCGTGTTCGAAGGATTACTGTCACCGTGTTTGGGGTTGGTTGGGAGTCAGCTAGCACTGTTGGGAACTGACGGGCCAGTAGGTGTTGTGGGTTCCCGGTGAATGTTTTGGGGCGAGGAACGCCGAGTATTCGTCCACGTTCAAAAACATCTGACCTAAGAGCCGTGTGGAAACACTTGCCCTTTACTTTTTTTATCCAGTTTTCTTCCCTAAAAGAGAGAAACTGACTGTTCTTTCCAAAAGCAGCAAAGACCAACTTGCAAAGAACCAGACAGGTGTCATAAACTTTACCTCAGCTAACAAGGTCAAACCTAACCGACAATCACCCTCTCACAAGATACACGGTTAGAAATGCATGATTGCTTTTTGACGACGGTGGAGGTAAATGTCCTGTTTGGAATTTAAGATTCAATGTGTGGTGGGAAAGCTTTATTTTTGTAGCATTTACTGGCGGCATTTCCACCCTCGCGTCGCTTCACGAGGAGCGATCTCGGGCCTGTGACCTGGAGGCAGACCTTGTGTAATGTCTCCCAAAGGCCTGTCACCTCGTTAAACATGTGACTTCAATTTAGATTTAAGTGCGGAAGTGAACACCGTGTGCTTGAACTTGGACATTCCCATTGCCAGTAAACTCCGTCGGCTCGCGCCAACAAAGCAGCCAGGAAATACTGTATTGCTGTCACTTTTTCGTCTTCAGCAAGAAAAATGTACAGAAATATGTTGTTTTTTTTGCAATTGGATTGCATCATGCATCTCATTTTAAACATGCTCACACAGCTGGATTGTAGTCGGCTCCTCACTCTGTACAGAGGCAACCGGAAGGAAGCAATACAGCAGCTCACAGGAGCTCATGGGAAAGCAAATGCTGACAAATTAGAGGCCGACGTTGTGCAAGAAGTCGCTGAAGTGCATCTCAGCAGTGAGGAAATCCCAAAAGAAACAAACCCAAGCTAATTTTATTTTTATTGTCGGCGGGCCCAAACTAAAGACTTTTTCTTTGTCAGTCACATGCTGTTAGAACCGACCCCTGAGAATGGGAACAGAAGCCCGACTTGACTTAACACAAAAAAATACATTATGAAAACATGGCGCTCCCCCCTCCCTCAACAATGAATCCTCATTAAAGGGTCCTCGCGGCAGCTCAAGTCATTCCTCAATTCGCTTTTTCCTTCAAAAGTTCACACGTGTCAATTCTAGCTTTTTTTGAATCTCTTGAAGCCGGTGCTTGCTCGTCTTCTCGTCCTCTGGATACGCTCGTCCGTCCGTTCCTGCACCGGACATGCATTGTTGGCCGTGGGGAGGCAGACTCCTCGTGCCCTCCTCCATTCAGAGCTTCCCGGTGGGGGGGCCGAGGTCCATTACAATGGACAAGCATCACCCTGCCCGTTGTTTTTGTCAGCTTCTAATTGTAAGGCCCACAGCAATGTTGATTGTGGCATTCATTACGAACGTCATTAACAGAGCCATTAACATGGGGGGAGTTGGGGGAGGTGGGGGGCATGTTAAGTTGTTTTTGGAGACCACTATCTGCTTTTGGCATTGGGTAAATAAAAGGGGGGATAGCTGGCTGTGAGTACGAATGTAGAACACGAGTACGTGTTTGGAGGAGAGGACACGGGAGGGAGGGGGGGGCTTGTGATTCTCGTCTTAAAACACATTGCTGGGAATCTCTGGAGGAAAAAAGAGCCACGTGGAGAACTTTCCATTTTCTGTTGAACGGAATATTTTCAGTTTGATTGACGATTAATCAAACCTGAAATGTGGAAATCTTTGACCAAGACACGATAAGTTGACAAATGCATTTTCCCCCCAATATTTTTAAATCATTATATTAATACACCCTTCACAGTCCAACAGCTCAATGTGCATGAATCAGAATCATAAAACTGCTGCTTGGTCCACATCAGCACAATCTGATACCTATTTCCATAATGCCAATTGACCCAGTTGCCACTATTGTTCCTGCTAATTGACCCCCAATTACGTCATTAGTCTGCGTCAGCTTGTTCAGATAAGGACTTAACTACCTGGAGCTGAGATAAGTGCGGTATCTACGCTACCAATCTGTGGTGTAAATTACTGGCAATTACCGTGGCATCTACTGTAAGTCGGAGCCCCGATACTGAATGCTAATGAAACACTGAATGCTAATGTTAAGTAAAGGTCAAACACATAAGTTATGGTTACCGGCAATACAGTCCTTCTACACAGAGTCTTATTGGGAGGGATCATCACCTCAGACTTTTCCCAAAGCAAAAGACTCCTCCGGCGCGATCGCCATTATTGGAGGAAGACCATTGAGCGAGTTACTGGTTCTACTGGTGTAGAGGCTCGGGATCCTGTGAACATGTTATGAAATGCTTCCATTTCAATCAAATGTGCAGATGAGACTTTAAAAGCATTTAGTTGAAAGCAAAAAAAGCCTTTCATAGCTTAATCTCAAGAATACATGAAGTAAAAATAACCCACAAACTATAATACACACAATGCAGTATAGAAGTGTTTTGAATACACCCTTTAATGGTATATTACGTATACATTAAGTACGTTTCATCCCATTAACTATTCGGCTTTGTATAAGTTTGCCATGAAGGGAAAAACGCACAACACTGGCTAATCATCCTGCAAAAAACACATTTGAGCAAACTCACATTCCTGGCCGATTACTTCTGAACTGAAATCCCAAAAAACGCTTTGTGTCCCTCATGTGAAGCCAGAAAGAAGATGTGCATCTTCTCAATGTTGTTGCTAAATACTTAAAACAGACTCCTCTTTATTGAGTGTCTCAGAGCGGGGGTCCGGTCCTGGCGGGCCAATGATTCTCACACTGACACATATTTGGTTGTGCCTCCAGCCCTCCAGACCAAAGACATTTGAAATATCCTATTTTGGCAGGAAGAGTTTAAGAGGAGTCCTGGTCTCTGGTAGATTCTATTTCATTCTCTTCTAGAAGAAACTTATTGAACATCTTATTACGAGATGCCCATGGATCCTTTTTCGGCGTGAAATAATTAAACAGGACATTTATTACATAATACTTGCAAGTAGGAGACTCATTTGAATTGGTCAGGCCGTCGTGATTTGTCTCCGTTCTTCTCGCGGGTGCCTCGCTCTTCTCAGGTAGAAGCACAGCTGTGAATGACATCATAAATGACACTTGTTGTGAGGAAAGAAGCTGGTGAGAGGATGTGAGAGGAGGAAGGAGCTCACACGCAGTTTGGAGGGAACCCATCGCAAAAGTTAGTTGCTGTGAATAATTTTTTGACGAGTAAAAAGAAACTTACAAAAGTGAACAAATCTGTTTGTCCCCCTCGAGTGACTTGTGTCCCCTGTCTCCCCCCCCCCACTCGCTCCCCTTCTCCCCCAGAGAACTAATGGCTGATGGTAATTACATTTAATGAGATCATGGGGTCGTCTGCGGGGTGCACTTCTGCAAATTGCTCTCAGCGTGGGGCCTGAAGTGGGATAGGGTAGGGGGCAACGGGGCAGTGGAGGTCGGCCCAGTGTTTGCCCAGTGTTTGGGAGAGGGGGTAGATGGGGGGGGCACAGTGGCTTTACCTGTCACTCAGCGAGCAGTGAAACATGTCGCACAATTGTCTCCCATTGTCCTCCTCGTTTGTTTGTCTGGCAGAGACAACCACATAGAGGTGGTGTTCTCCTTGGCTCCATTGTGTGAAGCGGCTGTCAGCCCGTCACGTCCATCAACCCCCCCCCCACCAACCTTCCCCCAGCTGCCCCCCCCATCTCTTTCCCCCCGCTCTACGACTGGTCATTTCGCCAAACTATTTTCTGGCTGCAGGCAATTTAGTTAATCCATTAACAACTAATTGTCTCCTCCTACTCTGTTGTTTGGACAAACAGCCTGTCTGGGGGTGGGAGGTGGGGGTTTAGGGTTGGGGGGGGCCAAGACTTGACCTATAAAAGTCACACAGGAAGAGGAGGCAGCCACTGCACGAGCCCCTGTAGTCTCAACCCTCCACTCATTTACTGGGACTTTAAAGCTGTGGATCTTTATTTGGATGACTGCGAGTCACCGTTTCTCCAGTTAATCGTCTTTTTTTTTGTGGGGGTGGGGACGGAAATGTTTTTCAACCTGTGGACGCTCTGCCTTTGTCTCTGCTTCTACTTGGCCGAGGCTCGCATATGGGCCTGGATGCTCAACATGCCTCACAGCCCTCCCAAAGCTGGAGGCAGGACCCTCAGGGAAAGCTCCCCTGCAGCCAAAGCCGCCGCGGTGAGTCACTCGGGCACTAAGCGGGCTCGTGACGCTTCTCTTCTCCTCACATCGTGTTTTGTTTTACATCAGTTTCAACATCCCCCTTGTCGCTTTCTCCCCAGGCCGCGTGCGACCACGACCGGGCCTGTGGACGGGGTTTCTCCTGCGATCGGCACTTTGGCCTCTGCGTCCCCCTGCGAGGGGAGGGCCTCTACTGCCGGAGGGACGCCCAGTGCGTCCGCGGACTCAGCTGCATGTTCGGCAAGTGTCACCGCAGCATCCCCAACGGACAAGAAGGTGAGAGGGCACCTTGAAACCCCCCCCCCTTTCCAACAAAAAAAATAACCCCAACCAGGGAGTCGCCATCCCGCCGGACCTTGGATGACCACTGTGTGTCTTCCTTCCATCCAGGTGCCAGGTGTAAAGTGGACAGGGACTGCGGGGCCTCCATGTGCTGCGCGCGGCACCACGGCGAGCAGGTGTGCAAGACGCGTCTGGTCCGCGGCGAGAGCTGCTTCGTCCCCGACGGCGGCCTGGCCTTCAGCATAAACCAGATCTGCCCGTGCGACGAGGGGCTTCTGTGTCGAGAAAGGACAGCGTCACGCCGGAGAGAGTGAGTGGAGCAAATTCAAGTTTTCCTCTTTAAAATGATTGATTCAAAAATACCTGCGGTTTGTATCGGCTCAGTGATGGTTTGAGGGATTTTAAATTACAATATCAAGTGATGCTGCTCTTTTTGTGGCCCAAATCCAGACTAATATATATTAGTGTAGAATATATTCAGACTTAAAACCTCTTGACTTTTGTGTGTCTGCTCTCGATGTGCACTATTGTCCCACAGTGAAACCGAGCAGCTACTCACAGCTGGAGAACATTAAAATAAATTTGGCATATTGGTGAAACACCTCCAGGATCTGCTCAGAAAGCCCGAAACATGTTGCTATTACATTCTCGGAGAAACATTTGTTGAATTTTATTCAGCAGTGACATTCCAACCTTTGACTGCACCGCCTCCCAGTTGGACACGTGTTTTGACTAATCTATGCTAATGGGACTCATAGTGATCATTCTCCTGTTAGGTCAAACTAAACCAATAGATGGAGATGCTTTAAAATGCAGTGTATTTGATAAGTCGTCTACACATGTTCTTACCTCAGTTTCTTTGCCTTTCAGGACAGATTTTGTTTACCAACCAGAACGAACAAGTTGGACGTGCCAAGTGCCCAAATCTTGAGGCCAGCCTCCACATTCAAGCTATTTATTATGTAAATATGTTGCATATGATTGTATATTTTGTATGAATCTCCAAATATGTTGTAATGGTACATTTTATTATTCGAGTCTCACAACAAAGACTTTTCTTTTTCATGTTCATTTTGTTTATTTTGACAAAAGCACTACTGTTTGTAGCTCAACGCCATGCAGCGTCTCCCTTGTGCATTTAAGTGATCTTTGATTATGTCTGTGAATGTATGTTCCCTTTTGATTTATGGAAATAAAATACCACTCCTAAGAATAAGCACTGCAAATACTCAATAATTACACACAAGCAAAATATATAATAAGAAAAAAAGTTTTGCTGCACTCTTGTGGGGAACACCTGTAAAGGGATCGTTTTAATTTGTTCCTGATAACTAAATCGACCATTAAGGTTTGATATAGACTTAGCTAAAAAGAAGAAGCCCAAAAATATATTTTTTTTAGATACGTTGGTTTTTTATCAAATTGTGATTCTGAAGTAGCTTAATTACAATAAAAAATGCCCTTTTTCTACTTATGCTGCTTGAATGAAGAAGCAACAACAAACCATTTACAGACACCTTTTTAAGTTTAAATATAAGAAAATGTTTCACCATAAAAAGGCTTTGGAGCTCTGAGGACTCTTGAGATCACGGTCACGTAACCAGGTGGAGCCTTGTCCCCCCCCATCCCCAATTGTTAGCATGGCCAGATGCTGTAACGCTAGCTGTCTGCTGACCCGTTCTCAGATCGGTATCTTCCTCACAAATTACCCTGCCGCTCCATTCAAATGCTAATCGTCTGCAGTTTGCAGTCTTCTACTGCTGGATGAATTGTTCCGTGAAGGACGTTAGTGTTTAACCTCTGTGCTATCGTTTTACAGCTCTCATCATTTAGTCTTTGCAAGACGGTATTTTCAATGGAAGTGCATGTTACAACAATTTATTTATATATGTAATGTATATATATATATATATATATATATATATATGTACACTGAGGCATATCTGGCTTTTCTCAGTTAGCATTTCCCTTTTTTTGGAAGTGGAAATAATATAAAATATTATAAAATATAAAATAAAACAGAAGTTGAAAAGGCTTCAGAAATCATCCATATTAACAATTAAATATGTAAACAGGCAAAAGAGGCAATATCTAATCCCATGAGAGTGTGAAAAACTATATATTACTGAATGCTGCGAAAACACAAGCTTATCATCTCCAGGCCACTAGTTACTAGTGAGCGCCGAGTCTTATCTGAGCTGCCATCACTTCTTTTAAGGTGCCCATACATGTCTGCTTGTACCATTTAGCTTTAGATGGTATTCTGTTTCATTTCGCCCTCTTGGACAAAAAGAAGTATCATGGCCGTCTGGTCTCCAGCGGGGGATATATTGTATCTAAAGAGATTTATGAGTTAAAGGCCGATTAGCTTAGCATAAAAACCTTAAAGGGGTGAACTACTTCTCTGGCTCTGCTAAAAAGGTAACAAAGACCTAATAGCCGCTTTCAAGCTCAACAATAAACACGTTTTTAAGAAACCTGACTGGTAAAGTCATTTTCAATTTTATTTTTTGTGTCTAGGAGGTAGTTTCTCCTAGCGAAGAAAAAGATCCTCAGTAAACGGGACAACAAGTAATATATAATCTTAAGCGGTCATTTTATGACTATTTGCCCTTGTCTTTAGCTAAGCTGTGCTAAGCTAACCAGCTGTAGCTTCATATAAAGAACACAGATGAGCGTGGTATAAATTTAACTCTCCACAATAAACAAAACAATATCATTCTTTTTTTTTTGGCAAAGTGGAATATAGTATTATTGTGTGTCATTAGTTTGTATTCACCTGAAAAAAAGTAATTGTTAAATTGGATCCAACTGTAACACAACTAGCCTCGTCACACAATGTGAGTCTGTGAGCACAATATTAAGCTTGCAATTGTAAGACTTCCTCTTCTGCCACAGCGGTGATGCCAGGGAAACACGGAATACATGAATTATCCTCCTACGAGTCATAACTCTTTGGTAATAACATGATAAAATTGACAAATTTCCGGTCTCCAGAGAAGGTGACTTCTGAGCACCTTTCCGAGCGGTAAACCCGTGAGACGCTGGTCATTTGAAAGTGAATGTCGCAGCAGCACAGAGAGCTTTTTGTAAGCTGAGACACAATAGAGCTCTTAAACCGGCTATGGGGGAGAGGAGGGGGAGAGGAGGGGGGGCTGATTATCCTCACATGTGAAGGTATAAAATGCTTCCTCAAGTCGTCAAGATGTTAGTTACAAGAGTGTTGAAGAGCCATGAAGATCCTCTGACGTCCGACTGTTTGAAAGTGCTTTTTTGCTGGTGAGTATAATCTTTTGTTCCAATGACACATTCACATCTTTATACGTTGAATATTCTCTCGTCGCCGACCTCTTTCATCTCCCTGCAGCATCACAGTATGGCTTCCGTCGGAGCTTTACTGATGTTGTTGCCTGTTGCATGGACGTGCTCGCCCCAAAAAGCAGGTAACACAGATCCGTTGAGGGAGAAAAAGCACCCAACCGCAACATACAGCTCACGTTGATGGTTTTCAGAATATTTAGTCAAGAGTCAAACAGCATCCAGGTGCTGTAAAAGATGTCACAATGTTAAAGGTCATCTCCCGGATCGTGCCTTATTCCAGACTACGTCATGGTGTCGTGTTTCCCCAACGCCATCATCGCCAACGTCCCCGAGTGCCCCTACGGCTGGGAGATCGAGCAGCTGTCCCTGGGGGGGGTCTGCTACTCTGGAGCGCACAGCCCGGGCTACTACCGCTTCAGCATCCCGGACCTCACCCCCAAAAACCACTCGTACTGCGGCACCCTGTCTGAGGTGAGGCACACGAGGACCACAGCGGTGTAGTTTCTGTCCACTAAACGACTGCAGCGAGAAAAGGTCCTATTTAGTTTTTTATTCCCTTCTGACAGTACGTGCCCGGCAAAGACCCCAAGTACATCTTCTCCAACTCCATCGTGTCCAACGACACGTCGCTGACGGTGCGAAACCAGCCGGTCAACTACACCTTCAGCTGCGTGTACAGGGCGGCCTACCTGCTCAACAACGCCGTGTTCAGCCAAAGGTAGGCGACCCCCGCCCGGCGAGGGCCGGCCGCAGCCACCGCCTGGAAGAGACGGGTGCATTCTAACCATTCTAACAGCGTTTTTACTAAACCCTCTGCTTTTTCCAGAGTGGCCACAGTTTATGTCAACAACGGGAGTTTAGGCACTTTTAGGTCGCAGTTGTCCATGAACGTGTTCGCGGTGAGTAGCCGCCCGCGGATTCTGCTCCCCCCCGGTGGAGAGCCACGTGTTTAAACGCATTGCTGTGTCGCGCCTTTAATGAGTCCTGTGAAGAAAAGCGTTTCGCAGTACGTCTTGTTACAAGTCAAAAAGTTGTTGGGCAAAATTGTGGAAGTAAATAGTTGTGTTTGTTTTCGTAGAACTCAAAGTTCCTGTACGCCAAGGACTCCCCGTATGTGATCGACACTTCTGACATCGGCTCTGAAGTTTTCATCGGCATCGAGGCCAAAGGGCTCAGCAGCAGGTTGGAAGACAACCGCATGTGTTGTCACAGGTTTCATTCCCACACAGAGTAGGCGTCGCCCGATTTCTGACCCCGCCTTCTTGTTGCCGCCTCCCAGGTTCAAAGTGGTAATTCACAACTGCTGGGCCACTCCCACTCCTTACTCAACGGACAAGAAGAGGTGGAGCCTCATCATTAACAGGTAGGAGGAAAGACCTGATAGCTCAAGACCATCAACTACACTGACCTACAACACTATGACTAAGTAAAGGTACCTCATACGAATCTCACTTCAGATCAGCAAGAGTCACTTTCAACTGAAAAAAACTAAAACAAAGTGGCCTCATTTGTTCAGCGTCGGGCCGTAAGTTGTGATGTAATGACGCTGATGAATTGTAATGAAAGAAAATTCTTCGTAATGTTTTACTGAGTTTTCTGTGTTTCTGCCTCCCGTCAGCTGCTCCTCCGACAGCACCGTGAGTATTTTCGAGAACGCCAAGGACAGCCGCTCCACATTCAAGTTCAACTCCTTCCGCTTCCAGCGGCTGGAGAAGGTGTCGACCGTGTGGCTTCACTGCGAGGTGCAGGTGTGTGACGCAGAGAGACTCGTCTGTCAGCCGGTGAGAACATTAACCAAACTCGGACGCCAGAAGCCGGCGCTGGAATCAGCCGATGCATTCACAGCAATTTGACAAAAAAGAGCCTCTTGTTTCGTCTGTGTCTTGCTGTTTAGGGCCCCTGCCTTTCCAGGAGTCTGTCATCACAGGCGGAACCAAGCGGGGGGATCCTCACCGCCGAGTTTCAAATTAAAGGTGCAGTTTTTCAACCCTGACGGGTTTTGATCGACGCTGTGAAATGCTGCACATAATTCATACAATACAGAAGATGTTTTGAAGGAAACTGTAGCATTGCGATTCCCCCTCTTTCAAATGTATATTTTTTAATAAGCTTTTAATTTTTATGATGTTTTTATCTCTCAACAGGTATTGATTCCTCCAATAATGGACACATGACAGGTAAACAAAATGAGCACTGATAAATGTGATTGATACGTAACATTCAATACTCATTCAGAGCGTGAGCGTCATATTGTTGTGTGCAAACACTATTTACTTATTTGTTGTCCTCATATCATGAATTCTCCCAATTAGGAAAGAAACTACTGTTTTTTTTTTTGAGATTTGAAGCGATCTTTGTTTTCTTTTCCTTGTTCCACATCAGGCTCTTCACTGTTCATCCTGCTGGTTGTCCTCATGAACACATGTTGGGATTTAGTAAATGGATCAAGAATGTAGAAAAACTCAACCCAACTCAAAATATTCTCACAGATATTACTTAGGACATTTGTCGACGCTTTTAATATGTTTTTAAAGTGGCACAATACTGCTTCCTTCAATAAAGACGAGTTGACATTTTTAAAGAAACAGTCCTTGTTCTTTTTATGCACAAACAAGGTTTTTATTGTATCCATAAATTAAACTGAACTCTCATGAAAGCAACACAGTAATAATAAATTAAATGAATTAACACATATATTTATTATCTTCCAATGAACAAACCCAGAACAAACTGTGCCTGGGTAACAATAGTGCCATTTATCTGTTGTAATGGATACCATATTATTTTGATTGAATTCAAAACTATTTCATTTGATTGAATTACATCTTATAAGATCACTACGTTTTGTTGTATGTTATTTTACTTCACTTTTAGATTTTTATCCATTTTGTTTTATGTTTATAATGACTAAAAGTATCCTGTGTGAAAGGAACTGGAATTGTTCTAAAAATCACAAAGAATTAAGACAAAAAAAGATTAACCTTTTTAATCCTAATTTAAGAGGATTGCCTTTTGAATTAAAATGACATATACATATAAGTATATTTTATATATATATATATATATATATATATATATTCTGCAGTTGCTGACCAGATTTATGTCTCCTCTTTACGAGCCGTTTTGCGTCCACTGAGAGCTTCTGAATTGTCGTTTCCAGAATTTCCTCCATCTAAAATCGTTGGTGTATCTAGTTGTCCCTTAAATGTCCACTGCAGTCATCATGGCTTTGTTGAAGGTTGTCTGGTGTCTTTTCTCGGCGGCTCTGGTTATCCCCAGTGTCTTGAGTAGAAATATCACAAACTCCGTTTAAAAAATACACGGCTTCACACAAAGTACCACATGTACCGACTGGAGACGCTTGCTGTCTCTGTGCAGGAGAAGAGCTGCGATAACTGTACCTCTGTTTGTAGTTTGAGAGTGTCCACATTCGGGGAGCTGTGAGCAATGACTGGAGGATTAAACCCCTGTTTGCTCAGAAGCCAGTAGGTCTTCAGTGACCCTTTTCCCTGTCGTGGACACAAACACACACACACACACACACACATGTCAAAAACAGAGAGACAGCATGTCGTACTGGAAAAAAGATAAAACAGACCATAAAAGTCACCTTAATTTCCACTTCCCCTCTTTCCTCCATCTCAAACGAACCAGCCTGGACCAGAATGTCAGCAGTGCTCTGAGATATGTGAATCTTCAGGGCTGCCAGAAATACAGAAGAGGGCGACATTTGTTTTAAATAATTACTTTTTAAACTTCTGTTCTGCGTCTGGTGAACAACAGCCCGCAGCCGTGTTGGAGCTCAATGCTGAAGCCGACGTGCTCACAGAGAAATTGTCCACATGCTGAATGATAGCAGGTAACATTCACCAGGATCATTGTAGCTTCTTATCATGCTATCAAGAAATGAAAGCATCTTTATTTGAAGAGAATATCAGCAGGTTTGTAAAAGGGAAGTCAGAGGAAAGTCCCTATGAATGTCTGTACACCCACGTGAGCTGTTGCTCTCCATGCGAGAGGCCGTGTTCACCGTGTCACCAAAGAGACAGTAGCGAGGCATCGTGGTGCCGACCACTCCAGCCACCACCGGGCCTGCAAAACCCAAAACAGACTAATGGATTCACAATTTTCAAGTGTAAAATTGTTTTATGCGCAAAATTCAACAAAGTCTTGATGAAAAATCCAAAGTTAACGGTAAGAAACCATGAAAAGAGATACATCCTGCACACTGTGGGCAGCTTATACTCGCTTTAAAATATAAAATGCTTCTGGATCCTTCTTAATATTAAATATGCAACAGTATAAACAATGGCGGACAAAAGTTCCCGTCTCTCACCGGAGTGTATGCCGATGCGTATGGCGAGACTCTTAGTGGGCATGTGGTGGATTCTGAAGACCTTGATGGCACTGAGAAAATGCAAAGCCATTGTAGATATCTCCAAGGCGTGCTGGATGCCGTTGCTGATGGGCAGACCACTGGCCACCATGTATGCATCACCGATTGTTTCCACCTCGTGAAGATGCGGAGACGTTTAAGGAATCAACCGATTTAAAATGTCAGTTAGAATGGAGAGGTTGCCTGGTTGTGTCCAAAAGAGTTAAAGAAAACAAGACCAGAACCTCTAAAGCTCATTGACTAACATGTACATAAACATTTTATCTCACTTCTTTAATCCGTACAAAAACATGTTTTCATGTGTAAATGTGTAATCAGATTTGCTTACACTTTACAGATAATTTTTTTTTACATTTGGATGAAGTCAGGCAAGCTGTCTCCAGTCTTTATGCTAAGCTAAGCTAGCTGTTTCCCCATGTTTACAGCGGTTGTGCTAAGATAAGCTAATCAGCTATGGGCAACACTTTACATTACATAGATGAGAGTGACAAATAAAATAAAAACACAGATTTAATGAAACATCCCCAAACTTTAGTTTTATTGAAGCACAAACTTCAAAAATGCGTGTGAGTGACTCACTTTGTAGACGTCGTACATCTTGATCACGTCGTCAAAGAGGCTGTAGAGGTCGTTGAGGAAGGTCACCACCTCCATCGCCGAGCTGACGGAGCACATGGACGTGAAGCCCACGATGTCGGAGAAGAAGATGGTCACCGCCTCGTAGCTCTGAGGCTCCACGGACGCCCCCGCCATCAGCTGATCGGCGATGTACCTGCGAGCGATGAAAGCACCGACCAGGTGAGGGACGCAGCCACGCTCGGCGTACGCTGTCCATGGCTTCGTCATCGGTTACCTCGGCAACATGCTGGAGAGGAGCTTGTCGGCGCGGGTCTTCTCTGCCGTGAGCTGATTGGTCCTCTCCTCCACCACGTCTTCCAGGTGATTGGCATATTTCTCCAGCTTTGCCACCATGTTGTCCAGTATATTCGCATGACTGCGGTAACAGAAAATAACAATCACCTGCTTGAAGGAGTTTTAGGGGGTCGAGGTATTTTATTTCATGTTGTTTTTAGTCATATTTCGGGGGAACTGACAAGCGGAGAGCCTTCATCACCAAGCCAGAATCCACAAAACAAAGACACGTGGAAAGACGGGAGGCCATACCTTTCCGGGCTGCAGTCCCTCAGCTGTCGGCGTATGGAGGCAAACGGGGGCCGGTGGTCGGGGTTTTCGTGCCAGCAGGCCTTCATCAGGGAGTTGATGTTTTCATCGCAGAGCTCCTCAGACAGGGCCGGCCGCAGGAGCTCCCTTTGGAAGGGCGTCTGCAGCTGCGTGATAATCTCTGCAGAAAACGCGAGGCGGGAGACGTTTTAAGCCGCCATGGAAATGTTTTTAAAAAATGGTTCAATTGATCGCCCTTTGTCACATCCATTTTCATCAACATCTTCAGCCCTTTTCCTTTGTGTGGATTAACAAGTGGCTGAATTAAAGTGCGTAGGAGTGCTGACCTTGGGGCGCCAGGTTGATCTCGTGATATGGGCCGGACTTTGCGTTGTACATGAGTTCCCACATGATGATGGCGAAGCTGTAGACGTCGGCTTTGGGCGTCCCGCACACCTGGAGACCGGCTTGTCTCAGGAGCTCGGGGGCGGTCCAGTACATCTCTACGACAAATCACCTCTTGTCTGTTATTTCTACAAATGTATTTAAAATGGCTCGTCATTACCAAGCATTCGAGTGCACATCCACTGACCTCGGTGATCGGGTTTCTCCAGTGGGACCATCTTATTTTGGCTCCCGTATTTAAACTCCCACAGGCCGAAGCCAGAGAGTTTAATCTGGAGCCGGCTGTCCACCAGACACGCGCTGGGCTTCAGATTCCCGTGAAATCTCAGGTTACTTTTGTGGATGAACTCCATTCCCTAAAAACAGGTTGGAGGCAGAGATTGTTCTCGAAATGCCATGTGAATAATTATACGCATTGCTTTTGTCTGTTTAGAAAATATTTTTATTTTGCAGATGTAGTAGTTACGTTCTTTTAACATGTTGTGTCGTAATTGTATCATCTACTGTTGTGTGATTAATCCCACTCTATTTATAAGCAGTTTTTAACCATTTTAAGATGATGAAACATGATTCCTGGTATTGTGACACACCTAAGATACTAAAATATTACTAACTTACTGACTATTTTACTTTTTATGATTTATGATTATTTTTGTTTATTACCGTTTATGTATTCTCTTTACAACTTTATTATTTTCTACAATCCCTGAGTACATATGTGAAACTTGGGGTTGATTATAAGGTTTAAAGTGTCTCTCCCAACGCAACATCATGACATTCACATGCTGCCAAATGAACTGACTCACGTTGACTATATCATAAGCAAAGGACAGCTTGAACATCCCGTCCAGGTCAACATCTGACTTCAGAACGTCCTGCAGAAAAGAAACAGCAGCATTTTCAAGCTGAACATCTGTAATCCCACACGGTTACCTAAAACCAACGGCTCGTTTTAGACCCAATGGTGTTTCTTTGTTCCATTACTGTCGGATAATTTATCAAAAATTAAAAAGGGTTATTTTAAACCCAGTGTTACATGCACACATGTATTATTGATTGTAAAAGAGGATTTGTTAAGTGTTTGTGTTTGTACATTGTGGGCCACTGACCTTCAGACTGCCTTTTGTGCAGTACTGCGTCACCAGGCAGACGTTCGGCGGCACGACGCAGACGCCAAAGAACTGAACCAAGTTCTCGTGTTTCATCTCTTTCATCTGTCTTGAAGAGTTTAAGACGGTTAGACACTAAAGAGGAAATTCAGCAACTGCTTTTATTATTATTCCTACCGCAGTCATTTTTTTATTGCGGCAAAATGCGATAAAGTAAAATAAAAAATGACATATTAAAGTTTAATTTGCATCTGCAAAATTAAAAGTTTATACAAGCTAAAGATCAATATTGTGTCCTGAATTATTAATTCATCTTTTGTCCTTTTCGCTCTTAAAAAATAGTTTTAAAAAGTGGAAATTAACAAATACAATTGAAAAACAACTTTACCACATTGAACTCTGCGATAATCGAAGGTCTCTGGAAATTACTGCCATCGTGGTCCTTGAGGTACTTGACGGCCACTTTATTTCCCTATTAAGGAAAAACATTTTGTACGTGAGAGAAAAGCG